TGTCCCTCTCCGGTGGTGGCTTCACCTTTCCCCCGACGGAGTCGTGCACTCGCGCTTTCTCCCATGCGTGGGCAATGATGTAACGCGAGATGCACGAGCTTGCTGACGCGATATCGACTGGAGTGTTGGACTGGTCAAGGCGGCCTCCCTTGTTGGCCAGGGTGTCAGCTCGGTCGTTCCCGTAGATGTTGCAATGTCCTGGTATCCATTGTATGTGAAGGTGTCCGTGGATTTCACAGCATTGGCAGATAGTGGTCCACATTTTGTCCTCTATCTCAGTACGAACTGCAATCACTCCGGACATTAAGTGTTGGACAACTGACTGGGAGTCTGTGAAGATGTGGATTCTTTGAAAACGTGGTTGTTTTTCGAGCCATTGCAGTGCGCGGAGCAGGGCGGTAGTTTCAGCTCGGTAGCTGCTTCCGTATAGTCCCGAGGGCACGGATACGCATGTTTCCTCCCCGGATTTGTCTAGACACCAGTATCCTCCTCCACATAACCTGTCGCCGTCGGTGGCATGTCCGTCAGTGAATATATCGAGGTCGGAGGTAGGCAATCGGCACACAGTCTCGAGAGCTGCTTCACGTCGCATATTAGGTGGATCTGTTTTTGTCGTAGACACTGCAAGTTTGGAGTTGATTGTGAGGTTGCAGAGGGTCTTCCACGGGGGAGTTGTACTCACTGGCCGTAGGGGTTCTCGGATTATATGTTCTAGTCTCGCGTTATTAGAGCTCTGTCGGCCCACTTCCCTCCAACTGTTGATGGACTTTAAGCGTATTTTTGATGTTCCTTCAGCTGAGGCACGGATCGGGTTGTCTTCTGGGACTCTTCTTGCTCTCTTGTATACCACAGCAGTTGCAACAGTATGTTTTTTTACTCTCTTGTAACACCCCTAATCTTCGGCACTTATATGACCTTATCGTGTTGCAAGTGCCGTAAAACACTTACTAAAACTAAACATACATCTCTATATCTAGACCTCCAAATTTTTGTATCTCTCAAGATTTATTGCTCCATTTCAGTAAAGTGTAAATATAGTAGGCCAATGACTTTCAGTTGATGTTAATGCACCAATCATTCCTTTCATCGAAAGGGGGCCCAGCTAGTATTATATAACAAAAGCACCCTCTTCGGGGCTCCAAACATTTCGAACGATTAGGCTACCACAC